AGGAAGATGTGAAGCAGCACAATCTGGTGTGTTACTGGAGCACTGTGTCCTGATGAACTTTGAAGCATACAAACTGGTGCATTTATGAGGCAAATCAGACCACCTTTGGAAGAGTTGTGAAGAGAAACTACACAAATTTGACAAGGAACACGCTTACTTTCCATATAATTTTGTTTTACAGAGGGACGGAGAACAGTAAGGATGTAACAGCATCTTGTAAAAGAAAATTGTTTTCCTCTTGCCATTGTGAGGCTTTTTAGGGAAGTAATAATCCCCATCAATAATGAGGTTACTAGGGAGTCCTCAGTATTAGGAAAGTTACAATCCAGATTCATGAACACTCAGGATTCAGTTCTTCAACCAGGACAGATTTGTCTTAGGTCAGTTTGAAGGCAGGCCTCTTCCTGACCCTCAATGTTGTAGCTTTGACTTCAGCCCTGCTTGAATCAGTGTTAGAAAGCTTTCCAGTGTCTACCAATTAAGCATCACCCCCACTCCACCAGTAAGCCTGGGCCTAAAAAGGTTGGCCTTTGGCCTCCTTAATCAGCAGGTCAGAGGCACCCATTTGGCCAGCAAGTACTCAGCTTTCTGTCCGTGTGAGCTGGGAGCCTACAGCTCTGTCTCACATCCGTCTCTGGTTCTTTGCTGCTAACACTGCCATGTCACTATATGCCAATCTCTGTGTCTCTGGTATGTGCAAGAATCTTAGGTCCAAAGGACATTCTGCACCCTCTTCTTTCTTGATGATAGCGAGATTCACTTCTGAAATTAATTTCAGGTTTCCCCTAAATGCTATCGCGTGTCTCCTCACCTGTTTTACATCGGGAAGGGGTGGTGGGTGGGCAGCGCAGCTAGTATTTAAGACATGGAGTCAGACTGCCTGTGGGCTCTGCTGCTCTCCTGCAGGGGGCCTGTGCCTACCATTTGGGGCTGTTTGCAGGATTAAGTGAGTTGATTGTTGAAAGCATTTGCCTTTAAGAGAACTGACTGAATCAGTGGTTCAACAGCACAGAGCACAGAGTCAGGACTGTGACTTCGATCGCCTGGAAACCTGTTTCTTCTCCAAGATGGTCATCTTGTACTTTCGTGTTTAGGACTCTGAGCTCTTTAACGTCATGTCATGTAATGAACATCAGATTCATTGAGTACAGGACTGTAAAGGGCACAGATTACAGAACAGGCGTTCTTGAGTCCTGCAGTGATTGGTCCTGTCCTTGGGGATGTCATCCACTTGTCCTCTGTACTATGGCTCTTCTGCCTCTCCGTGAGCCACACGCACACGTCCCGGTGCTCCAGTGACCACGTCTGCTGCAGCTCTGGTTTTAGCACAGCCTTTGGGACACGGGGGCTCCTTCTCAGTGCTTCCCACCTTGAGTTAGCTATTTTTCAGACATCTTCCATTTCCTTTACATCTTGCTAAACTTCTTGAGGGAAGCATCCAGATCTTTAATGTTTTGCAGATACTATTTTGGTGACCTTCTAGTGAAGGAGATCACACGTATGTGACACGTATTACCATTGGAAGAGGGTAGGAGGAGTCCTAGAATCATGAGGCTTGCTCTCCTCTCATGTTTTCCAGCTACTGGCTGAAACGTGCTTGTCACCCTGTACCTGTGTACCCTGCTCCCCCCCGCCCCCAAACAAGTGGTGCACAGGCTGAGGGGCAGGGAAATGGGCTAAAAAACCTTGAGCTTGAAATGACAGGGCGTGAGAGTAGGGGATACATGACAAAGAAGAGTATGTAAGGTAACTGTGCCTGGGCCACGTGGGGCAGAAGAGGTGTGCTCGGATGCCTTTGAGACTTGGTTCCTGCCCGACTGAGAGAGTGGCCAGCAGACCTTCCTCTTGTGTTTCAAACCAGGAGCTGAAGATGAAGAAAACTCTCTAGTCTCCTTTTGATGAGTCAAATGACTCATGTTTGTTCGAACCCCTTGAGATCTCTTGGATATCAGCGCAGAACTGCTCTGCAGAGTTTCAGTGGTGGTGACCTTTCACAAACAGATTGAGGGCAGATTTGGTGGGTCGATTTGAACTGACAGCCCTTTGCTTACTCGCCAAGCACTTAACTGGTTATGCCTTTGAGGGCTAAGTGCCAATGGTGGGGTTAAGTGGGAAGGCAAGTGGGCCAGATAATCAGGCCCCTGGACCCTCAACTTTTACTATGCAGGGAGGAGGAGAGGGGAGGCACGGTCCCTTCCGCTCCTGATCCTTTGAGCTCCTCGTCTTTACAAAAGATTTTCTTTCCTTTGTGTATCTACTGTCTAATCTTGGCACAGGGGCACAGGCCTGGTCTCTGTTCTCATGATGTGCACATTTTAGAGACCGAGGTCATTTAGATAATTGCTCAGTGGTCTGATGGAGAGTGTGGTCACAGCGGAACCTAGGTGGTTAGGAAAGGGCTCACTGAAAAGGTGTCATTTGAGACAGGAAGTGCTGAGGCAGAATCCTGGGAGGAGGGAGGAAGTGCAGAGGCTCTTCGGGGAACCAACTCTCAAGAGTGTGAAAGGTGTGGGGCACAGTGAGGCCCGAGGTGCCCTTGCGTAGTGGGAGGAGTTTGATGGGAGGTTGGGGACATTTTCTGCATCTGGGTTCCTTTTGATTATGACTCTTTTCACAGGGACCTTTAAAATTTCTGTCAAACAAAAAGATGGACTGACTTAAAAAAAAGACATACAGCCTTAAGATACTTTAGGTTTTTAACATGTGTCACCATCATTTGTGGGTCACAGTTGGGTGTCTTTGAGGAGCCTCCCAGGCAGATGAAGACCTCAGATTGAGGCGCTTCTGATGGAACAATCTTAAAGTCTTTTCTATCCTGAACATTCATGTGATTAAATGTAATAAAATACTGCCCTCTACGGACGTAAGGAGGAAGACAAGTGTTTAGACAACGGGAATTCCAAGTGCAGTGGGTTTCTGGTGCAGCACACCCTTCAGTCCGCGTGAACATGGCTCTGGGTGGGGTGTGAGGGTTCTAGTCTCCTTGCCCCTGGGGTCTGAACTCTGCTTCTCTGTCCTCAACTCGGTACTGACTGGATGGAACTGCCCAGAGGCCAGTGTGAGGAAGAACATTGGGCTGCAGACAGCTAACTGCTTCCTGCACAATGGAGTCAGTGCATTGTCTGTGATCCACCTATTGTTATGCTGAATCCTTGTAGCCTATGTGCCTTCCTCTCAGCTCTGCTGGGGGACCTTTGCTTAATGTAATTCTTAACACTCCCTTCCCTTTTATTAAATCCTCAACTGCTTTGTCCCTGATTTACATTTTCCGTGGCTGGGTTCTGACTTCTGCTTTTTTTTTTGTTGTTACAGATCCTGTGCACAGGTGACCGTAAGTACCATTTTTTTTTTTTTACAATTTCTTCTATTTTTTTGTTTTGTTCTTTACTGCCCCCTAATGGACACAACAACATTCATAGCAGTGTGAAAATCACAGTAAGTGCGAATTCATTAAAGCTTACTTAGTTTCTTATTTTTTCTTTGGCAGTGGAGTTTGAGTGGGGACTTCAAATGAAAAAAAAAAATCAACCAATTAAGCTACTCTGACAAAGAAAAATATCTTTATTTCCTCTGGCTTTACTCTCAATCTATAGTGATTTTCTTTTAAAAAAATCTGAAACCTCTGACTTTACTCTCAATCTATAGTGATTTTCTTTTTAAAAAATCTGAAAGTATAATATAGTATGATTTATGTTTCTTTTGTGTGTTGTTATACTTTAAGCATTTAATTGAATTGCTAGTTGCCCCTGATTTTATAAATAGTTGGCAGGGTTTAGGTGACTGCCAGAAAACCTGATGTAGATGCATTCTGTAGATTTTGCTTTCAAATGGAAGGCTGTGTCCAGTTGCCCCGGGACTGGTCTGGCCAAACCTCCATGGTTTATGATAAAAAGAGAAAAATAGGGTAGGATATAATCTGTGGCCCTCATGCCTGGTTTAAATTGTTTTTGGTCAAACATTCTTCTAAGTGGTATAGCACTGGTCTGTCCATTTGCTGTACAGAGGCAACTTGTGGTTGCTGTGATGCTAAACACTGTGACATTGATGTGTCAAATGTGATAATGGTTACCCATGGTGAACAGTGTTTGGTGGAGCTCCCCAATTTAAAACAAGCTTGGAAGCAGGAGTGGCATCCACTTCCAAAATAGCTTGCCTCTGGAAACTCTATGAACCTGGAGAAATGATTAAAGTTATACAAGTATTCAGGTCTTTCATTCATAGGGTCACCATGAGTCGTCTACAACTTGACGGCACTTCACAACAGCAGCAACAACAACAACAACAACATTAAGTTGTTCATGAAATATTGAAAGCACTGACTATTCTGGGAATTTGTTCTTACTATGAATTTCTTTATCAGTGACAGAACATTTTCATAAGAAATAAAGTTGATAACAGTTGGTTGCTAGGCTTACTGGATAAAGAGTCACAATCCAATTCAAAGGATCTTGGCTTCTAATCCGAAGTTAGATAGTTCGAATTCATCAGCTGGTCCTCAAAAGAAGAGCAGTCCCCTCCTTTGTGATATGTAGCCTCTGATAAAAACTGTTGCAGGGTCAGCTGTGAGTTCTGATTAGACAACACATGACAGCAGCAGCAGCTAACAATTTAAAAAAGTGTACATGCTGGAGGGAAAATACCACAGTGGTAGCATTTGTTCATTTCTCTGTCCTTGCCAGCCCCCAAAACTTGGGGCTGATTTTCTGACTGGTGAAATGCTGCAGTCTGTGCACCAGAGAGATAATTAATTAGGTTGTTGTCACAGTGCCCTACAAAGGGGGCAGGTCTAGCGGAAACCTCCTAATGAAAGCAAATCTCACTTAATAACAGTAATTAGGCAAAGCTTGTGCATAAAAGCCAACTTATTAAAGAACAAAGCGTAACTGTGCAGTGGTAGCTGGCCAGGTTTTCTTCATCAGCTGATACTAGCTGCCTTTTCCTGGGACCCACTTGGGTTTCCAGCTGGGGTTTAAAGGTACAGAGGAGGGAGGAATAGAGTAATGCCAGCGGTGACTGCGTGCCATGATGTCAGTGACCCGATATCTGGCTTGACAATTGTAATAACTAACATTAACTCCTCTTTGGGCCTCACAGATTTGGAAAGTCAGGGTTTTGGCATCCGAGTTACGAACGCCAGTGACACGAGCTTGAACCTGACGTGGGACAGCGACAATACTGCGTCATCCTACAAAGTACAAGTTGTGGAGAAGACTGGGTCCGTCACTTTAACCGTCAATGAGACCCACTCTCTCATTTCTGGTCTTATACCCGGCACCTTATACAACATCACCGTGTATACTGTACCATATAATGGTTCTGAGAGTGCAGCCAGCTTTCTCCAAGTGTATACACGTGAGTTGACCCCTTTTGCCTTACCCTTCTTGTCTGCTTACTATAGGCAGGCTATTCGTGACCAAACAGTGTGGATGTCCACAGGGACTCTTGCTCCGTTCCTGCAGGCTATGTGATGGTCATCCATTGATGTGGGCCATGGGCCTGGTTCTATGTCACGTGCTTTCCCTGCACGATCTCCTTTCCTGGTCCACGGTTGTCTAAACTCCCTCCTGCCCTTGTAACAGCCCTTCCAGGGTGGTGGAACCTAGAGCAGATTGCTCAGTGGAGACAAAGACACTAGGGCATCCATGTCCTTTTGTCTCCTGAATGCTGGCATTATAATGCCCTCACTAGCACAGCCATGTTTACTGGCCGTTCCTCAAAAATATGATAATAGGCAGCAGGCAAAAAGCTTTCTCTCGCAAAGGGGAACATTAGGCAATAGCTTAAAACCAAACAGCACTGATAGGCCGTTCGTACAGTACTGTGATATAAACTCTCTTATAAATGTACAGAAATGATGTTCGTAATAGAACGGAGTTCAGGCCTTTTGTGCAAGGCTTGCTCTGAGTAGTATCCGACTCAACAACACTTAACTACTGCTAAATGAGACTAGTGCTGTTATATTTGGAGGAACACTCTTCCACTTTGCACATCACTCTTTGTCAATGTGCTGTAAGAAGTAACCTGGGTTTGCTGTGATGCTGAATCCTGTGCCATGGCGATATCAGATACCAGAATGATTTCCCATTGTGGGCAGTGTTTGGTGGAGCTCCCGGTTGTAAAAAAGGTTTGGAAGCAGGAGTGGCATCCACTTCCTAAACCACATGCCTCTGGAAACTCTATGAACTTGGAGAAACAGTGATCGCTATGGAAAGGCATTAGGTCTTTTGTTCATAGAGTCATCACGAGTTGACCTTGACTCAACAGCAATCATCAACAACAACAACGATAGTATAATGGGGTTGGAGATGAGCCAGGCAGTTAGCACTATGCTGGGAGTTTTTGCAGTATTGCAGAAGCCTCTTTATAGGTAAGAGAATGATTTGCCTGAAAGCCACAAAGGTAGCAAGTGGCATGTGAGTCCAAGAATGTGTGGCTCATGAGTTGGGTCTTTTCCACAAGGCTCTTTTCCTTAGGTGTCTCTTTCTTTTAAGAATATTTACCTTAACACTCTTGCAGACTTCTTGAACTCCATTTTCACTGTTTATTCCTTTGTTTTTAAAAATAAGGCCCCAGGAATAGATGGTATACCAATTGAAGTATTTCAGATAACAGATGTTGCCCTGGATGTGCTCACCAAGTTATGCCAAGAGATCTGGAGAACAACCACTTGGCCAACTGACTGGAAGAGATCTATATTTGTTCCCATTCCAAAGAAAGGTGACCCAGCTGTGGAAACTACACAACAGTGTCATTGATTTCACATGCAAGCAAGATTCTACTGAAGATCATCCAAAAACGATTAGAACAGCACATCAGCAG